CGGAATATCTAAAAACATTCTACATCAAGAACACGTACATATGCAAGGTTAGTATTAACAATAATTTTTATATTTTACTAACAATTATTTTTTAAAAAGATAACTATCTTTATCATGCTCTAGAGAAGGAAAATGTATTAGACATATCTTTGCAAAATGGAAATGACAAAAATTATGAAGAGGAATTATTTGTCGGACTACCTGAAACTGTTTGTTATGAACAACATATAAATGTGAAAAGTTAGTATTAACTGTATTATGTATGTCTGACTTACATTCTTATTAACTTGCCTTATCACGCTTCAGGAAACGAAAATATTCCAAATATATCTTTGATAGACAATACTGGAAAAAATTGTGAAGAAAAAATACAAGTTACTATAGATCCCAAAGATATCCCAATAAATCTATTAGAACCTAGGATTACTCTAATAAAGCTCACACGTCAAGACTGTGAAAAATATATTAAGAATAGTCAGCAACCATTAGCGTTTATTGAAAACATTATTCCATCAAAAGTAAGTATACATTGAAACGTTACTCATTATCGACAGATATAATATTTACACATTGAAACATTTACATAATGTTCCAGATTACACGAAAACGGAAAGCACGTCAACCTTGCAGTCGTTGCAGATAAAAATAACCATATACAGGGTATTTGATAGCTGATCATGCAGACGAAAGTTGGAGATAGATTGGGTGTAGCCGAGAAGAAAAGTCATGTACCATAATGTCAAATTGGCAATAGTTACCGAGTTATTAATTAAAACATGTGAGCCAACAAGCACGTAGAGAGCGGAGGGCGGCCGCTGTAAGCACGTAGACATTTGATACAGGCGGAGTCAGCGAGTGACGGTAGGCAAGCGCGCGCGGCGAGGGGCAACTTAAGCGACAAGAAGCGATCGCGCGCGACGAGGAGCGAGCGAGCGAGCTTTTTCTTTATAGCTTTTTCCTTATAGCTCGCTCGCTCGCTCTTCGTCGCGCTCGCTCGCCTCTTGTCACTTGCGCTCGCTCGCTCCTCATCGTTCGCGCTCGCTCGCTTCTCGTCGTTCGCGCTCGCTCGCTCCTCGTCGCGCGCGCTCGCCTCTTGTCGTTGCCCCTCGCCGCGCGCGCTCACCTACCGTCACTCGCTGACTCCGCCTGTATCAAATGTCTACGTGCTTACTGCGGTCGCCCTCCGCTCTCTACGCGCTCGTTGGCTCACATGTTTTAATTAATAACTCGATAACTATTGCCAATTTGACATTATGGTATATGACTTTTCTTCTCGACTACACCCAATCTATCTCCAACTTTCGTCTGCATGATCAGCTATCAAACACCCTGTATATTTTAAGATATACGTTATATTTTAGTATGTGTGCTTCCTACTGTTCTTTTGTTGGCTTGTTATGTAATTGTTATGTAATTATGTAACACACAAATTTTCGGAAATGTTTATAATACATATTATTAAAGAAAATAACTTCGAATATTAGCATATAAGTAATTTTTATATAATTCACCTTAAAGTATTGTGAGAAATTAGCAGTAAGTACTTTCAACCTAATCTTGCATACAGCCTTAGTCTACAACACATTTCAGTACGTAATACTTAACATATATAATACTGTTATATTGGCAACAAATCGACTGTCTTAGAATATGTGTGCGATAAACGTCATAAAGAATATGTATTAAAAAAGATGCTGACAATTCTAAATATTTGTATACACTTCAAATAAAAGTAAGACATGTATATGGCATATATATTTTGTACACCGATGAAATTTGTGCTTTGCAAATTGAACAAGTTTTAACATCTACATTATCTTGCATGATTTAACTAGAACAATCTGCACAAGTGCAGAAGTGACCGCACAGTATGAAAAGATGAGTCGATTCAGCAATAATACACATAAATAATGCACGTACGATCAGATTTTACTTTTTCTTCACTTTTTTCGCACCCCGTTTCCTATTGTGTCCGTTTCCTACTGTGTCCGTTTTTTATTGTGTCCGTTTTCTATTATGTCCGTTTGTTACTGTGTCCGATTGTCATTGTGTCCGTTTCTTCCTATGTCCGTTTCGTACTGTCTCCGATTGCAACCACAGTGTGTCCGTTTCCTACTGTGTCCGTTTGTTACTGTGTTCGATTGTCACTGGTGTTCGTTTCTTACTGTGTCCGTTTCTCACTATGTCCGATTGCAACCACAGTGTGTCCGTTTCCTGCTGTGTCCGTTTCATGTTGTGTCCATTTTTCTGTGTCCGATTTTCACTGTGTCCGTTTCTTACTGTGTCCGTTTGTTACTGTGTCCGATTGTCACTGTGTCCGTTTCTTACTGTGTCCGTTTCTCACTGTGTCCGATTGCAACCACCGTGTGTCCGTTTCCTACTGTGTCCGTTTGTTACTGTGTCCGATTGTCACTGTGTCCGTTTCTTACTGTGTCCGTTTCTCACTGTGTCCGATTGCAACCACCGTGTGTCCGTTTCCTACTGTGTCCGTTTTTTACTGTGTCCGAATGTCACTGTGTCCATTTCTTACTGTGTCCGATTGCAACCACGGTGTGTCCGTTTCCTACTGTGTCCGTTTGATACTGTGTCCATTTTTTACTGTGTCCGATTCTCACTGTGTCCGTTTCTTACTGTGTCCGTTTCTCACGGTGTCCGATTGCAACCACCGTGTGTCCGTTTTCTACTGTGTCCGATTGTCACTGTGTTCGATTGCAACCACCATGTGTCCGTTTTCTACTGTGTCCGGTTGTTACTGTGTCCGGTTGTCACTGTGTCCGTTTCTTACTATGTCCTTTTCTTACTGTGTCCGTTTGTCACTGTGTCTGTTTCATTCAACCTGCTGTGTCCGTTTTATTCTGTGCGCATCTGGGACTTACTCAACCTGTACATCGTTGGAGATATTTAGAAAAAAAACTTACATTAAATGCCTTAATTTGAGTAGCAACCTCTTTGATAACTTTGTCAAGAACAATGCATTGATCTCACCTACGAAAGATGAAAACAGGGCAAATTATTTAATGAATAATACACTTCATAAATTCATTTTTCAGAATAAAGATAAACTAGATAGTTTAGGCAAATTAAAAATATCCCCTCCTTTATAGGGGTGCCCGTATAGGGCATCATGAACGGCTCATGAACGCCGGCAACCTGTCGAGCATCCCGGCGCGGCCGAAAACGGCCGAAGACGCCCGAATGCCGTAAGCACCGGAAGCATCGCGCAAGCACGCAAGCTTCCGGCCGAAGATAGCCGAACGGGCCACCGAAGGCGCCCGAAGGCGTCCAGCCGGGGGTATAAATACTGGCGAGCAAGGAGTCCGAGAGATCACTCGACCACCGGGCCACTCCGAGAGAAGACCTAGGAGGAATATTAGGGAAGAGACACCGCAGAAACACCATTCGCAATTTCCTACCATTATCCATCGCTCCTAACCTACGGATCGGCGAAGACCGTCCCCGCTACGGAACTCGTGGTCACCCACCGCTCCTAACCTACCTACGGGTCGGCGAGAACCCTCCCAACAGGTGACACTCACAGCAGGTGCCCGGACCACCGCGGACGACCACAGCAGGACGAGAGGGCTCCAAACACCGGGCAACAAGCTCCGTGACCAGCTTCTCAGTGAAGAACCAGGTGGCCCGGCCGGCAGACCCGAGCAGCAGCGGAAGGCCGCCATCAACCGAGCGGCAAACAGACCCACGCCCCGTAGATAATTGTAGATAGGCTGAAGGCAACACCCCAAATAATAAAAACATTACCACTAGATCTCACGACGCCCGCATTCACACGCCCCTCCCACGAATCCTGCCACCGGCGAACAGGCCTAAGCAAGGCTAGGGGGCGAGGCGGGACGGCGAGAGATCCGTTATATAGTTGCATTTATTGCAACTATGCTCATAGACATTAATGAAAGTGAATCAAGTGATAGTGATAGTGATATAGAAATTTTGCAAAAACTAGTTATGCAACCTCGGATACCTAGAATAAAATGCAAAAATTATTAGAAAATATCGTATCATCATACTCGGATATAGACTTCAAAATGCATTTTCGGTAAGTTGCAAAGTATAAGTATAAAAACCTATATAATTTAACATTAATGTGAAATTCTCACATAGCATAAACAGTTTAAAAAGAATTCATTCGTATGTCAGTACATCTAAGTTCATTGTCAGAAACTAAAAGAATTTTTTTATATCTAAGAATAAGCTAAGAATTACTGACATATAAATGAATTCTTTTTGAACTCTTGGTGCTATCTAAGATTACTACTTGGTGCTATCTAAGTTTGTATAAAATTATTTATAAAACAAAACAAACATTAATAGATAAAATTTATGATGTCTTAAAAAGAAAATAATTTTTTTATAATTGTATTATATTTATAGACTTTACTAAATCTTTCGAAGCAAATATATGTATCTAGTTTATAATTAAGTACATAATGATCTCTAAGTATTTAATATCTTAGATCAATTATTACTACGTATAAGATGATGCGTACTACATTTATATTTTTGTTAGAGTTATTAACTCCTCATCTGAATAAATATTCAGATGCATCTGGACGTTTATCAATATCTCCCGAAAAACAGTTGTTAATGACAATTTGGATGATGGCAACACCTAATTCATATAGGTAATATTTAATAATTTCTAGTGTAAAAAAAAAGGAATATAAAATATATGCATATTTTTCTATCAATATTTTTAAAATTTTCTTGAAACATGTAAATTATTATGTGTATGTTAGGAAAAATTAGATATATTGTAGAATATTTTTTTACAGATGTGTGACAGATTTGGCAAAGCCAATCTGGCTTCGGAAAAGCAACATGGAGAACTGTTCAAAAAATTGTATCTGCTTTATATTACCATCTAAAAGGTGTCCCAAAATTCACGCAAGAAGTAATTTTGATAGAAAACACAGATTTATAATTAAAAATTGTAAATTTTTTATTGATTCATAAAGCATACAGTATAGGGTTATGTATGGAATAGCATATCGGGTAAATGGCCTCCACGGTTTTGTTGGCACATATGCACTCTTTTGTTGAAATTTTCCATGACCTTTTTGCATAAATGTGGCTGAATTTCGTTGATGCAGTGCTCAATTTCTTCCTTCAAGACGTGGGTGGTCGTGGGCTTGTTGGCATAAACCTTAGACTTCAAAAAACCCTAAAGAAAAAAGCCCAACGGCGTTAAATCGCATTATCTGGGCGGCCAAATCTGATCACCAAAACGGGAAATTACACGACTAGGAAATGACTCATGCAATAATTGAATTGTTTCTCGAATTCGAAGTATACCAGATAAGTTACCGATGACAAGATCCGATTTAATACCGAAATATATAGTGGCATGTTATATTTTACATAATATTTGTTTATTACATGATGATATTATTGATATTCCAACAGTAATAAATGAGGCATAATATATACTAATCAGAATATAATAGATATTCAAAATAGAGAAGAAGGTATTCAAAAACGAAATGTTATTGCCTATTCATTGATGAATCCTCATTTATTCTTGGAATAAAAAATTTACTATATATTTATTCACACACATGAGAAGTTGTTTTAATCTATTATAATCTATAATATTTGTATCTGTTGTGTGTATGTGTATGTGTGTGTGTAAACGTATTATAATATATAAATATATTAAATTAGATTACTTTTTTTGTATGAATAATTTAATTTAATATTATGTATTCCTAAAATGGTTCCATATTCTGCAAAATAAAAAATAAGAACTACTATTCGGTTTAGTTGCACATTTATTTATTGCACACATATTGACTACATTTGATCAATTTTATAAACGATTCTGGCGGCCCTGAGGCTCCAGAGCCCGGGTCCTCGAACGGTGGCCGACCCCGAGGGATTCGGACTCCAGACGGCCGAGGCTGTCCGCCCCTGTCTGCCGGAAATGGCAGACAGGAGGGGACGTGGACTGATTTTTCATCTGGTGCAGGTGCTAACCGGGCATGGGTGCTTCGGTCAGTACCTGCATCGGATCGGGAAGGAGCCCACCGCTCGATGCCACCACTGCCCAGTGCCAGAGAACACCGCGCACCATACGCTGGTCTCATGCCTAGCATGGGACCGGCAGCGCGGTGTCCTGGCCCGAGCGGTGGGCTGCAACGTGGATCTCGCTCCCGCGTATGGTCAAGGCCATGTGCGGGAGCGAGGCGGCATGGAGCGCGGCGGCCTCCTTCTGCAAGGACGTTATGTCGCAGAAGGAGGCCGCCGAATGGGAGCGACGTCCCGATGCCTGCCGTAGGGCACGGCGGAGGCGACGCTCCCCGGTGGGAAGCGAACCCGAGGTAGCGCCGGCCGAGGAGCCGCCACCGATTCATCGGGGACCTCCTCGACCGCCTCGGGCCCGCCTTCGAACACGAGGGGGGGCTCCACGTGATAGAAACACTCCGGGGAATGAATTGGCAGATAAGCTTGCCAAACTAGGAGCAATAAGCAGCGAACCTCCTTCCCAGACAGCACTGGACACCAATGGATGTACGTTTCACGTCCAATTTATGTCCGTATGTCCGTGGACATAAATTGGACGTAACAAGGATATCCTTATTGGATATCGAATGTCCTATGTCCGAAGTTGTGACAAACGTACGTCCTATGGACATCTTTTGTAACAAAAGTGGACATATAACGGACGTCCAATAGACATCCGTCTGGGTCAATAGACATGCTGTCTGGGTTTAGAACAATATTGCACTATCCAATCAGAAGACTTAATCAAGGAACAATGGGAGGAAAATAAGAAGAACGCACTTCAAGATCTTGAAAATGAATTTTTATTTAAAGTAAAGGAATACAGAAAAATGGTACCTAATCTACTCCAAAGCCCGTGGTTCAAAGAGTTACCAAATACGAACAGAGGTATTATCACATTGATGGTAAGATTGAGGTCATTCCACATTTCCACTAGAACATATCTTACCAATAAGAATATAATAGATACGAACAATGTGGTTGCGAATAGCATATACATGATCTGGAGCACATACTATTCAAATGCTCTGAACATGCTGAGGAATCTGACCGTCTTCTGTCAAGACTTTTCTATAAGAATGACAGATTCTCAGCAAATGAACTACATCAAGCAGATTTTGACACGAATAACGAATCTATATTCTCTGAAATAGTAAAATTTCTCCAAAATACGCATCAATCTACATAGAATATTAAAGCACACCAACAACGGGAAAATGGCGTGTGGAAACTATAGTATGATAGTCCAAAGCAGTGATAGGAAATCGGTGACGGGCTTGCCAGCGAATTTCCCCCACCACGCACGCACACATAGCCGACTCGGTCTATCTATGTGGGCCACGCGCTCGGCAACCGTCGGTGCGCCGAGCGAGAGAGAGAATATCATTCCCTCTTTCTCGCTTTCGTGTTCGCTCGGCGATACGAGCAAGAATATCTTTCCCTCTCTTTCCCTCTCGTTCTCGCTCAACGACGTGAGTTAGGCTGATTCTTTTTCGGCTGTAATCTGAGCGACTATGACGATACTGAGAAGTTTTTCCTATTCGGCGCGCCGAAATTATTATGAATATTATTTTATTATTAATAATATTATTGTTTATAATAATAATATTAATAATATTCCGCGCCGAGAAAATGAAATATATTTCATTAATTGTTTTGCTGCGGACAAATTCATAGATTTGATTGTTTTTGGGAATTGTTTAATAATATTTGAAGAATAATTTTTAAATTGTACAAAGATGTAGAATAAAATATGGAAAAGTATTATAACAAAATCAAGAAGGTACGAAATGAAACCTTCTTGCTTTTACAATATTCTCTGAATTAACAAATACTCTTCAAACAATATTAAACAATCCCTAAAAACGATTACATCCGTAAAATCTTCTGTCTGCGCGAAAAAAACATTCATAAAATACGTCTGTTTCGCCGCGCTGAATGAGAAAACCCTCAGAATATAAAATGATATACAGTGTATTGATATACAGTACAATATAAAATGATGTACACCCACGGTAATCGATTCTGTCCCTTGGAAATTTTCACAAACTGAGAAATGACTACGTTTCTATACTACTCACAGTCCATGCACGATTACCGAACCTCGCTGAGGAGAGATCACTCCTTTATTGGCGTGTGAAGGAGCTCCGCGCGGAGGGGACGCTTAGGGCCAGGGATCTCAGGGGCCTGAATCTCCAGGCCAGGGACCGGACCCTTCGGAAATGGAAGGACGAGTTGTCCGATCCGAAGGGGTCCGGTCTCAAGACGGCCGCGGCTGTCCGCCCCTGCCTGTCTGAGGTGACGGGCAGGAGGGGACGTGGAATGACCTTCCACCTGGTGCAGATGCTGACCGGGCATGGTTGCTTCGGTCGGTATCTGCACCAGATAAGAAAGGAGCCCACCACTCGGTGCCACCACTGCCCCATACTCGAGGACACGGCGCACCATACCCTGTCCGCATGCTCCGCATGGGACGGGGAGTGCCATGCCCTCGAGGGGGCGGTGGGGTGCCGAAGGGGGAAACTCTCGCTCCCGCGCATGGTCAAGGCCATATGCGGGAGCGAGGCAGTGTGGGACGCAGCGGCCTCCTTCTGCAGAGAGGTCATCTCGCAGAAGGAGGCCGCGGAGTGGGGTCGTCGACCGGGAGTGCGTCGCAGGGGGCGACGCACCGGTCGACGATGCCCAAGAGGAGGAATCGGCAGCGGGCCCGAGGTGGCGTCGGCCGAAGAGGACTCACCTGTCCAAAGGGACAGGACGGGGACTCCTCGGCCGCCTCGGGCTCGCCACCGACCGGGAGGGGGAGACTAGGTTTCCCTAGATCCCCCCCCGCGCGTCGGATAGGTAGGGAAAGGGGGAGTGGTGTCCCGGTTGGGGCCGGACCCACTTCCCTAAACCCTCCCCCCTAACAAAAGGGGGAAGGGTAAAGGAGGAGGGGTGGATGTCCCCTTCCTCCTAATAGGTGTGACCAGAAGGCCAACCGGTGGGGCAACCCACCGGGGACCGCGCCCTGGACTCCCTCAGTGGGACAGGGGGCGGTGCATTGATGGCGTGGGGCTCCCGGAGAGCCCTGGGGCCGGGGGGCTGGGGAGGGAATGCGGGAGCAGTTCCCCCAACTCCCCACCCAACGGCCCGACAGGTAGACATCCCGCAGGGGTTTTAGTCGGTAAGAGTCCGACATAACCCCCTCCCCCCAAGGGGAGGGGGTATCCATGATGGATTTCCCTTGCGTCACCAAAAAAAAAAAGTTAAAAATACCAATATTGAGAATATACCTAAATCTGGACATTCTTTTCTATTGTAGTATTTAAATATGAATATTAATATTTTTTACCATGAATGTATATATGTATTTTGTCTGTATGTTGAAAGTATAAATACTCGTATTTAAAAAAAATAATCATGAGAATGTCCAGATTTAAATATCATTATTTTTATTTTAATTAAAGGTAATATGCTAGAAATATTTACTTAAAAATAAAGAATAGCAAAGACAATAAAATAGAGATAGATAATAAAATTATGACCATATTGTATTAAAGGATACTATGTTACAACACTATTACTTAAAGCTGATTTATTGGCTATATATAATGTTAGAGGATATATACATTTTAGACATACAAGGTCTTGAGTCTTAATGGATGAACCAACTTATTCTTGGGGCTGCATTATCGCCTGGATGTCTATTAAAAAATTAAAACTCGTTTTGGAAATGTCTGTACACGTACTTTGCATTCACAGAATTATTTTTATCGTAATGTTGCACATGCAAAATACATTCCTTTGCAAAACAGTATTTCGTTTTTAGAACGGACGTCTAGTCGGTAATCTATCCTATAAAATAAAAAGCTGCTTTATCCATTAAGATTCACCTTGTAATATCTAATATGATTGTTGTTGTAACATGAGTTTCTTGCGGAAAAATGGTCAATGATATATGAATTATAACTTACAATTCTCTTTCAGACCTCTGTTTCGCTAAAATTAACCATCTTGCAATCAAATCTTCTATCTCCTTGTTTGTCAAATTGTTTTTATGAGTTCGTGTAGCATCTAACAATATTAAGTTTTATTAGACGTATTTCTTATCTCGACGTTTGTAGAATTTTAGATAGTTCTTGGTTTATAATCTCAGGAGCAAGAAATATAGAAAAGTTCATTCCACTATTTCTTGCAATTTATATTTAAATAAATAAATGACTTTTCGTCAATAAAATTGTTTAATTCGATAGAACATATGTAAAGTGTGGTAGAAATTCTAATATTAAATCGATATATTACGTGGAACACAAAATAATTAAAAACGTTACTTATAATCAGATCTTATATTTTAAACCGTCATAAGTTCATACTATATAAATCATTTCATTAGCTATAGAGTATCTACAGATAAATTTAAGACGCTCTTAAATAAAAGATCTGGCTATAACCAAAGCTACAACCAACCATAGAGAGAGGCTGGTATTTGTAGTCTGATCTTATTTCAAGAATGTCTTTAGTTGTTAATACTGCTTAGTGATTAGTTTAGGATATCTTGAGTCTCTACTTAAGATAATCGTGAATATAAGATTCAACTATGAATACCAGTTAATGAATATCAGTTTATGATTATATACGTACCAATAATACATTTTGTAATGCGAAGCTTCTTAAATGGGTCTTTCATTTTAGTACTAGCCCAACTATATTGTATTGCCAATGTATTTGTTAATATATGTTTCATCATGTATGAAATAACATCATGATAGTCTTTCCCTCCCAAAAGACTCAATTGTCTTGTCTGCAAAATATGAAGTATAAAATATTGTAATTAATACGAGCTTATAATATTATAAAAATTTAAATAATGACACAGTGAGGCTTGCGTCGATTGAAGTCGAAATGATCCCAGAGAGAAATAAGACTCGAATAGACATCGAATCGATTCGATGTCTATTCGATCTCTCATTTCTCCCTGGGATGTCAAATTGACATCGATCTGTCATTTCTTGCTGAAGAATATCCAGTTGATATCAGAGTTTTTACCGTTATTGTAGTTAATACTGTGTCTATTGCAAAAATATGAACATTGTTATATAAATAAACATATCTAAAATATCATCTCTATATTGTAATTGTAATAAAACTGTAATTCTTGTAATAAAACAATATTTCAATAATACATTTCTAAATTATGAAATATGAAATAAATTTTGGGTACACTTGTACCATTTCTGTAGCAACAGATTTGTCTTGCAATTGACGATCTATGAGTTGTAATTCCTCAACTGTACTTGCTGGCAAATCAAAGTTTACGTTTTCTGATGCATTTGTAACATTGTTTCTGTTTAAATTGTAATCTTCCACTCTTATTAATCGCTCATCAATTATATCCAGTTTCAACAATATCGTATTCAGTTTTCGAAGAATGAAATTATGGAAATCTGCAAAATAAAATTATACATTAAAATTACAATGTATACGGAACATAGCATATAATAAATTTAAAAATGCATATATATATATAATTTTTTATTATATATATATATATATATACGAATATATAAATTAAGTTAATTTTTGATAATATGTAATATCAAATATATATAAATATATTTTATATTAACATTTTTTGAAACATATATTGATATAAAAGATTATACTTGCCCAAATCTCTCTCATTAACACTACAGGTGTATGATGTGGATGCAGCTGTCGTATTTGAAGTTTTTATGACAGAGTCTTGATTTAATTCTGTATGCTCTTGTGAACAATATACAGATTTGTTACATGACGAAACAAATACATCTGTTTTACTTTTTTCGCGTTGAATGATATTAGTTATTTTCTTCTCACTGTTTTTCAGAGATTTCTGTGCTCCAATTGTTATTTCTTTCCTACTTAACTCATTTGGTACTTTAGGAAACTGAGCTGTATAAACTTTCGATTTATCAATGTTTGTATCACATGAATCATCTGAATTTTCAGCAGAAGAAGTTAAAACTTTTTTTGCACGGTGATGTCTTGACTTTTTAAGATTACTATTTTCATCTATATCATCTATGTCAGAAATATGTTCAGCTAATTTAAGCTTCTCTATTGCTTTATCGTATATCTCTGAAAATGTATAAAAAGTTGAAAATAGAAAATTTCACGATTACACACACACACACATACACACACACAACAGATATTCTTTGATATACCAATTACAGTGCAACTACTCAAACTTCAACAATTTCATAAAAGAACAATATACATAAACATACATGTACAATATTTTATATATTACTTACCGCAACTACCAAACAAACGGTTCACCTTGTACAACGGCCAATCGCATAAAGGAGATATTCTCTTAGAAATTGGTTGGTTTATTTTAATTTGGTTTGTATATGTGGGCCATAGACATTTTTTATTATTATCGGTCAACCACTCAGAAGGAACAACTTGCAAACCGTCATCAAATTCCACAATGTGATATATCATTATATATGCCGCAAATCATAATTTAAATTTATTAGCAAAAAAATGCCAACTTGTCTACAATCAAGTTAAAAGCATGAATAACAATAACAACTATTGTTTATATAACATTTCCAATTAATATTAGATGATTAGATTACATGTAACTAATTACATATACAAATTAATACAAAACATACATGCATTATTCATTTGTGTGTAATATAGGAAATATAACATAGTTTCCTCTATAAAGTATTTTCCACATTTTTGCTTTGGATTTATCAAACTGCCACGTCTGAAGGTGAGAATCCTCATGCATAACACTAATATCCAGACTTGACGATGCACAAGGCTCTAAATACAAATCTTTTACTGGTACAAGCAGTTTACCAATAATATATATTGTGTTGCAGTTAGATTTAATAAAATTTAAAATTGTCACTTTCTCTCCATTTTCCAAAGAAATACAATTATTTTTTGGATCGTTGCAGTTAATATAATATCCATTACCATATAATATTTTGTATTGTTGTATAGTATTTAGACTTCTTATAACAAGACCATTATTATGGGACTTCTTGAAATATTTTTCAGTGTCATTTAAATTTATATTATTTGAATACGTATTGAGTACTTTGTGATTCTGTACCTTCTCAATTTCTGCAAATCTTCTTGTTAATTGTTGCAATGGTTATTTAGTTTTACGAATAAGTCTTTTCAATGCAGACATATGATTCTCGAATTTAAACGCACTGAATTCATCCAGAGAACCAAATTTCTTTACATCCGTAGCAGGTGTAGTAAATTATGAATATCATGTGAAACATTTTGCACCGTAGATAACTTGAAATGACTTTACAAAATGTTTTAATAGACTTTCTGCATATTCTACAAGAGCAATTTTGCATGCCAAAACAGGACTTGCAAGAATTGTAATAGCAACATGTAATATTAAAAAGTTCACATAGACATTATCTTGTAGAATTCCTTTCAGTACGATAGGACCCGTATATAATAAAAACTGCCGATACTCTGTGGCTTTCCAATGCTTGATATATTTTAATGACCTTGGCCTTCGAGCAAAATCTGAAGGAATGTTTTTGCATAAATTTATTAATCTCTCAGATATTTCTTCTTTATTTGAATTTGATAATCTTATATTAAGAGGTCCTGATAGCCATAACATTATAAGTTTACGCACAACACCTAAACATACCAAGTGCATGTAATCCAATGGCACTTTTGTTACTAATCCAAGATTTGGTATACTTTTTAAAATCGTATCACCAGTTTGATAATCAAGGCGATAAGAACCAACTGAAAAATCCTCATCAGTGCGTAATTTAATAGTATTAGATGTATATGGAAAACACACTCGTCTTTCAATATTTTTACCTTCGATAAGACACTTAGTACAGCTATCATATCCACTGTGTCTTTTTACACAAAGGACAAACGCTTTGGCAGGAGCGTCACATATTATTGCCCTAATTTCGATTTTTATAATTTGTCTTTCATAATCAATTCCATTATTTATTGAAGTAACAGCTTCGTCTACAAATATTCTTAAAAATTCGTTTACATTTTTTGGTTTTCCCTCTCCATAAAATAGACCAATGACATATACATTCTATATAACATTGTCCGAGCATAATATTGGCTATAAACTCTTTTCAGTTGATTTATATATAGGTAAACCATCTATATTTATAAATAATTGAATAACATCGAGAATACAATTATGTCTTTTACGTTCCTTAACAATTTTTAATATAGCTCTTTTTAGGCCAAAATGACAGTAATCCCCACCTTGAATTTGTATAATCTCAGTAGATGTTGGAGTCTGTAATAATGTACGTGAGTCTTTTGGTAAAATATAATTAGTATGTTTTAGCAATATCTGTATAAGTGCATTAAGTGATTTATGTGATATATTATGATCAATAGCCCATTTATTTATGTCATGCCTAAATGCTTCTCTTTCATCATTTACATATAGTACATTTTCATTATTCAAAGCAATATCATCGACAATTTCATTGCTACTTGCATTCACCATGTATGTATCATCTTCAATGAGAAAGTGAGCATTATTATCTTGATCAATATCAAATTGACTTTTCTTTTTATTTATTTCTAACTGGGCTACTTGTGGATCACGAATCAACAAAGCACTATTATCATGTTCACCAACATCTAAATGGTTATCATTACTATTTATTAAAGTAGAATACTCAGTCCGATGAGTTATTATTTCAACATCTGCTGGTGTATTTTCTAAAATCAATCTTCGTTTATGCCTTGTACTAAAAAATATCGGCAGTTTTCGTTTGTCACTCATATCTTACGACAGATGTCTGATATTTCACTTCACTGTTGAAAAAAAATCTTATTATAATAAATTGATTAATAAATTTTGAAATATCAGACATGAACAAATATTAATATTATATATTAAGCATTCAATGCAACGATAGAAATGTGTAATTATAGAAACTTTCATGCATTATGTAAAATAGATTTATCCGTGTCATTAATTTTCTACATAGCACAGCAAAAATATCTAAAATACATAACCTAACAACGTTGCGATATTTGTAGAACACCTTTATGAGCTATATTTTGGACATTTATGCTGTGTAGGATGTATTTGAAACAAAACAGCCATAATGACTAATTTGAGCAAGAGAAAGTAAAAAGAAGAGAGAAATAGCAAAATGTGACAAGCACGTGTAACACATAACGTGTAACACATATTGACCTGTTGCACGTGCATAGAATATTTTACTAACCTTAATTCGTACTATGCTTGCTAACGTATTTGTTGTACATCAACTCGAATACAGTTTCCGTTTCAAACGAAGGAGTATTAGGCAAATTCGTATTTGTATAAGTATGTTCAATCGTATTTACTCCACTGTACTGTAACGGCTTCTACATACACGAAACATGTCTCTCGCGGCAAGAAGAATGGCGCAAAGCGCGCTAAAGTATGTTCTTCTTAGTTGCACTACTGATTGTTAATGCAGCTCTAAAGAGCAGACCATAGATCAGCGCTAAAATATCCTATCTTTATCGCTCCTTAGATAAAGACAACAAGAATAGAATACGCTAATAAAAATGTACTAATAACAAATTTCATTAAATTTCAATTATTTTTCTTTTGTATCACTATCACATATATGTCATCATTTTGCAATATATAATTTCTTTAATTATGACATTTAATTTCATATTATAATGACGTCACTGCAATATTACAGCTGTGAGAACAATATCATCTCACTGCGACATCACTGTAACATAACGTAAACATCACATAATAAAGATAATAATGACATAACTGTGACCTTCTAGTAATATCACAGTGACATCACAATTTTCCTGTGACATTGTGACTCTTTTGTGAGAATTTTGTGATGTCACTGTGACTTTTTTTGCTATGGGGGATGTATATTCCCACAAAAAGGTACATCGAATCCACGTAGAACGCATTCGTTGCATTCACATGGAATCCACAAAACCACATGGATTTCACGTGGACACAACGTTGTTATTTTCGTGGAGATATCCGCACTCATACTATTTAAACGTTTAAGAACGCTTATATATCATACAAAACTCACATAGAGAAAAATTTCTTTAAGTTTAATATTCTTACTTGTTCGATTTTGAGTTGTTTCATTAAAATATATTTTTACAATATTATTTTTAGAAAATAAAATTCTATTTCATTGAAGAAAACCATGTTGATAAAAAACAGGATTTGAGATAATATTTTTCAAAAGTTTTTTTTAGATTTAGTAATTAAAATTTCTTATTTAAACTTCCTTGAATTTGTTTCAAACTATTTCTTTTGTGGGTTAACCATTATAATACTCCATTATTAGTAATTTTGAAACATAGTCTATATTAATATTCGTCGCATATCGAATGTTGTTGCGTTGTTTTAATTTTTGACATGAAAGGTTATAATGTTCTGTGAATATTATAAGGATACATTATATAAATACACGTCACAAGAACGTCTTTGGAGTTATTGGGGTAATTGCGTGCCACTCAATCGTCAGGTTAAGTAAAGCGTAGCGTTGGTCAGCACACGGAGGGGTGACCGCTTGGAATCGAAGCTATCGACGGGACGCAAGACGCGAGAAAATTACAGGTAAATTTTTTACATAACAATAATATTACAGTTATATAACAGCTATATAACATTTTAGTAACATGTGATATTTCTGTTATATAACTGCAACTTTCTATGAGTGGGAAATTACAACTAACATGTATATTGCTTGTAACGTACACGTTATATTACGTGTTACATTTCGTTACATTACGACAATGTAACTGTTACATAACTGTATTTACTGGGGAATTGCAATGTGATAATAGTAAAACAAACTGTTTTAATACTTCTGATTCCTTGGATAATTTTGATGATATTACAGAATGCAATGGTTCAATAGATCTGAGACCAAATGTAGTAAAAGATAATGAAAATTATTTTATCAATAAATTACGATTGGCAATATCACATAACATTTCACATTCAACTTTACAGGATTTGCTACAATTATTAAAATCAGAAGCTAATATTTGTGTGCCTCAGGATCCCAGAACTTTGCTCCATACTCCTCGACACATATTCAGCAAACCTGTAGGTTCAGGCACTTATTCACACATTGAAGTTCAATCTGCAGTTGAAAAACTTATCAATTTGTTAGAGGAACAATCACAAAAATTAAATTTATTAGTTAACATTGACGGTTTACCTTTTAGCAAAAGTTCTAACACTCAAATATCCCATATTATGCTCGATGCATGAATATCCTCGATATACAGGGTGCACGATTTAGAATCTTTATCTATTTAGAATTTTTTTCATTCGTGATAGATAGCGTTGAATTTTTCTGAGAAACTACTTTTAGCGTTACACAGGAACAACGATGAGGACGTAGTAGTTTTATGTTCCCTTCGGGTGCTTTTTTAATGTGAGTCCCCTTGCCTCTCACAGATCGGGGTGCTTTTTTAATGTGAGTCCCCTTGCCTCTCACTGTTCAATTAATTAGAGTAAGTGTTCGAAATTTTTACCTTCAACTTCAATACACTTATTGATTGTTTCAATAAAAATTTCACTTACAATCTAATTCTGTGTTTCAATAAATTGTTTCAATAAAAATTTCACGTACAATCTAATTCTGCAATGAAAAATGTGGGTCCCCATTTGAGATTTGAACGTTATTACCCACCCTACCCCGAGAGGATGGGGGGAATAACTTTTATGTTCTTTAAAAATATTGAACAGGTATTTTTTATTTCTCAATCTAATCATCATTTCTGGAGAATTGCGGAAAATATAATTTTTTGCGATTACAGCGCCATCTATCACGAATCAAAAAAAAAGTTTCGGACAAAATTTACGTATTTTGTGGCGTAGAATCCGTATCTGCAATAAAAAAAATGGGGGTTTCCATTTAAGATTTCAAAGTTGCCCCCAACCCCCACCCCCAGGGAGTGGGGTGGGAGGTCGAGTTTGGTATTATTGGATGTCCCCCTTCGAGACTAATAACTTTCATTAACCATTTTTTTTTATCCAATGCATAGTTCTCGAGATATTTCAATGTCTTCAGATAAATCGTGCACCCTGTATACAGGGTGTTTGATAGCTAGATCATGCAGACGAAAGTTGGAGATAGATTGGGTGTAGCCGAGAAGAAAAGTCATGTACCATAATGTCAAATTGGCAATAGTTACCGAGTTATTAATTAAAACATGTGAGCCAACGAGTGCGTAGAGAGCGGAGGGCTCGCCGCAGTAAGCACGTAGACATTTGATACAGGCGGAGTCAGCGAGTGGCGATAGGCAAGCGCGCGCGGCGAGGGGCAACGTAAGCGACAAAAGGCGATCGTACGCGACGAGGAGCGAGCGAGCCTTTTCTTTGTAGCTTTTTCCTTATAGCTCGCTCGCTCCTCGTCGTTCGCGCTCGCTCGCCTCTTGTCGCTTGCGCTCGCTCGCTCCTCGTCGTTCGCGCTCACTCGCTCCTCGTCGCGCGCGCTCGCCTCTTGTCGTTTACGTTGCCCCTCGCCGCGCACGCTCGCCTATCGCCACTGACTCTGCCTGTATCAAATGTCTACGTGCTTACTGCGGTCACCCTCCGCTCTCTACGCGCTCGTTGGCTCATATGTTTTAATTAATAATTCGGTAACTATTGCCAATTTGACATTATGGTACATGACTTTTCTTCTCGGCTACACCCAATCTATCTCCAACTTTCGTCTGCATGATCAGCTATCAAACACCTTGTATTCTTACGTCCATGGACAAGATAGGGAAGTCGGATAGGGCTGGTCCTGACTATGAATACGGCCCTATGTGGAAGTAGAGTGAATGAGAACCGTGCATGCTTTGCCATTACCATCGGGACGGACGTAGTTCACATGCACTTTCTCAAGGGGCGCACTAAAAAAAGTATCTCTTGGAATTCAGCCCAATGGCCACTCTCAGGCTTCTCTCTGGTAAGAATAAATTTATGAAAATATGTCTTAATTTGATGTGTAATCTTTACAATCAGCCGATAGATGACACCGTGTAGAAAGACAGCAGACAAACCGACAAACCACCCAATCGTACCCAGCGTACAGTCATTTATCATACATTTTGAGTTATAGGAATATTCATTTTTTGACACATCACTGTAATGCTATGTTTGCCTTTCACATTGTTTCGGTAGCGTTTTGTCTATAATGTATCAGGTCTCTTCATAAATCGACGGCTACGCATTTTCAATTTAAGCTAACTGATTTTCCATGTCGCGTGTATATCACGTCATTTTGAAATTAATTCACTTCGTTGATGTCGCAAGGACTAGCGGTTTTCTAAATACAAGGATGGAAAAATTGGTCAATTTTTGACAGAAGCTTTCGCCGTTGTCATACGAGTTTTCACGAATATCACGAGTGAATTATGGATTTTCGTCAGTGCTAAATATAGCATTGACCGGCGTTGCGTGAGTGCAAATGCATTTTTTATATTATTGTTTTCAATTTTTTAACGTGCCTTGATCTTCCAGCGTGTCATACATTCGTAAGAGTTGAGAGAGAATGCAGATAATAACCAGTTTGTAAAAATGGTATATGTACAGTTTTTCTCTTTTATAAAAAAGTGCACATAATATACAATTATGTTTTTATTAATTGGTTTTATAAAATAAATGTTTATTATAAATTTCTCATGACTATTTAAAATGTTTTTAATAAAGTATTTTGTGACAATTTAAAAAGCTTTGTAATACAATTATACATTAAATAAACACATATTTTAATATAAAGATTATATATATAATTCTGTCATTTCCAAATTTATAAGTTTAATAAACTACATGAGACTGAATTGTGATATACAATAATGGTGTTATTATACTTTTTAATGAGTTTCATATTCTACTTCCAGTATATAAAAGACAGAAAACTAGGCAAGCTGTAAATATGTTGATTTAATCATATATACAAGATGAGATTCAATAAACAAGAACTATTAACATTAGCTACCCAGCCTTCGCAGAAATTTGAAAAAGAAGGTATTCTATACGTGAGAGAACGGCAGGAAGGTTTCTTTCGTAGAACAGAAAGTGAGTTTTCATAATATTCACATACACACACATCCATACACAAACAAGATATTCAATTAAATAAAACCAAATAGCATATCTTATAGTGTACAAACGATGCATGACTGTCCCTTATTTATATTGTACATGTTTAAGGCTTGACAATAAATATGTATAATGTATGACTTTCTTATTTGATGTTTAATGTAGAGCCCATTGTCTTATTCGAATTGCTACATGTCATGAGTAAGAGAAAATGCATTTGATCAGAACATTGTTTTAATAAAAAAAGGAAGATATTGTTTAAATTAATATAATTTAGAATCTTTTATCTCATTAACGAGAGCTTACTGATTAATATTTGTGCACATACACATCATTAGCAATGTGATATGTATTAAATATAGGTATGATAAAATATATTGCACGAAGTAGAGTTTACCAACTTCTATAAGTCATGCCATGGGTCATTCAATATCTTGCGATCATTTTAGAGACTTTATTTTATCTCAATTTTGTTCTGTTGTATATGGCTTTGCACGAAATAGAATGTTTGTTTCGTTGTATGTCGAATAATGACAGTGTCAATGGACAATTTTATAAAAGCATTAAAAATTAGGGTAGCATCCATCTGACTATTATGCAATATCATTTAAAATCTAAATATTAAAATTTCTGAGTATTAAAATAAAAACATATTTCAATAACATATGACAAATGATATGGGACAAGTGAAAGTTATAGTGTAAAAAAATATTTTATCATTACTCGATAATTATCAGTGGTCGATGTGATAAAGGATGATACAATACATATTAATAAATCTGCTAATAAAAACGAGTTAGTAAATTTTCACTTCTACTTTATGTGGAATCAGTGTGAATTGTAAATCAATTTGCTCTGATGTCATCATGCAAGAAAATATAAATTAAGTCATTCATTTTTTCTTTTTATTTGTATATATTTGGAACAGCATTGTATTGCAGCTGTCAGTTAGCCTCGTGCAATTTCCAGGTACAGGTAAACCAGAGAATAAAAATCAGAGAGGAAAGAGTCTACGAGATCTCAATTGTGTTACAGCTGGTGCAAACAAAGGTACATTATTCGAGTGCATTTTTCTATATTTAAACACATACATGCATTCTTTTTATTAGAATCTTTATGCTCTTATCACAATTTTTACACAATTAATAAAATTAAAATAAATCAAGCCACCCAAGGGTGGCTTAATTTATTTATTTTAATTAACATATATGGATGTTCCTTACATTTATAAAAGAGAAATTTGAGAGAATGATGCATGTTTTAATGGGATTGATCTTGCATTTGGCCGGTCTGATATTGAAAATTAGACGATGTAAAAGATTGGAAATTGATGGATGCAATAAACAGAATGAAAGGAATGCCAAGCTCTCAGTTAGAATTTACTATTTTGATTTAATATGTAATCATGACTTTTGTTTATAGAGATTATTCGTTTTCTTTAGTTTTCTTGTCCTCCGATGGAATCTAAGTGGTGATGATGTAATGCATGTAGAATATTTGTGCTAAAACCTTGACCCTCGATCTATTGAAATATAAAAATATATATTCAATATATATTTTTTAATATGTTATTTTAGTTATTTCATACTTGATATATTTGTACTTGAATTTCTTACTAATTAATATGTAAAAAATATACAATGTAGGACATGTGATTATTTGATTCTGTTGATAGAATTAAATATAAAATTTATACGACATGCGACGTTACAAAGATATATTTTTGATAAATTGAGGGTTGATTGCAAATGAAACAATGCTTTGTTGCATGTTCCACATAATTATTTTCTTACAAGTAAAGCATCGGAACTGTCCCTCACCCATTTGGATGGGCTTTGGATATGTTGTAGAGCAGCAAAAAATAATTAGGTCATTTTTTTATATGCATATCTCAACGTTTAGGAGTTGAAAATAACGGATTTAACCCCTCGAAAATAACGGATTTTTTCAATTTTTGGGAATATGTTCTAAACTATGAGATATGAGATGTATGAAAAAATGATTAGATGAAAGTTTAATGGTATTTTATGCTCTATGTAATGGTATATTTAGATTTGCGAAAAATACCAAATTTTTTAATTTACCCCCCCCTGTCCATTATAATTTTTGCCAATTTCAAAATTTTTGTAAGGACAAAAAAAAGAGCTTAAAAAGACAAATTCATCCATATATAATAATATTATATTTGACCGATTACATTTTTAGAAAAACGCATTTGAAACTTTGTATTATATGAGTTGCTCTGCGTTACATTGCGCTATAGGCTTATATACTATATTATTTCTTTTCTGTAACATGATATTTACACAAACAATAATTGCATCTTTTGCATATTGTAAATGAACAAAAATTATTATTAATTACATCATATGCAACGTATTATATAACATTATATCGCATTTGATAAATTATGCTGCGTGAGAATGGAAACATATTTGGTGTTGCTATTGCATGAGTGGGTCTTGGAATAAGAAATATATACAGATACACATACACAGAAACATACTGAATATATATAGAACACACGCAGTTTAACAAGATTTAAAATGAAACTTGATATAACTCGTCGAGAGTGACACAAACATGACATATGTATAAATAATGCATATGCGTAGCGCATTTATGGTACATATTCATGGCAAAGATGATGTTCATGGAAAAAATGTGTTACATAAAGAGATTTCTTACACCAAGAACATATAATTATTGCAGTTTGACCACAAATGTCGCAATATATTTTTATATTACTTTTGAAACAAAACTCGACTTGTTTGAAATTCTGTCGGTTTATTTTGCACATATCTACTTTTAAACCATGCGTATTTATAATACGTAAATAGATTTCGAAATCTAGGTGATGAGAACTGATTATGCGTTAATGATTGCAATTTAAGTATATTATTTCTGACATGAAGATCTATTGCAAGATCTAACAACATAACCATATCTGAAAAGTATTTAATAAAATTTTTCCACATTCAAAATCCGTACACATCCAATGGCTGTATTTTTCCCGTTGTGCCAGCCGGAATAGTTAGTAAAACAATATCTGTTGCAAATTCTGGTCTAGTTTCTGCAATAATATTAGGACACTGACCAGTCTATGAGTCTAGTAGTAAAACTGATTTCGTTCCAACATTTGGAAAATATACATCTTTTAACCAAGTTTTTACATGTTGCGATGTTAATTTGCCTGATTTTGAAGCCATAGTATAAATATTAGGTGCTTTAAATATATTTTCTTGCACTCTTGGACCAAATATTCCACCAACTTCTTTTAATAATATGAAAAGAGGCGACAATAATCTACCATTGGCGGTAATGGTCGGCTGTATAGTGTAACTATGCGTGGTTGATGATATTGACTGTACTACAGTTTGTACTTTCTTTGTACCTTTGCGCGCTGGAGTACAACCGGCATGAAATTCTAATTGGAATCCGCTTTGATCTGAATTATAAATATTTTCGAGTTCATATTGACCGATGTAATATTTTACATTTTTAATGAATGTTACGCATGTTATTTTTTAGATCTGTTTCTGATAACATAGACTTTTTAGTAACAAATTTTGTTATTTTCCGTGATACAATATTATGCATAAGTTTAAATCTTCTCATCCATGTCTCTGAAGCTGTGAATCCTGGTACATTTTCTACTTGTGCTCGAACAGCTCATTGTGCGATATCAATGTGAATAATTATTCCTTTCTCAAGTACTTCATTGAAACAATTTATTACGTAATCAGAAATTCATCTTAATTTTTCACTTCTAGTACCTTGATTGATTTCTTTTTCCCATCATCGTAATTGTCGTATTGATGCAACTTTCCGAAATCTTTGTCTTACTCCTAACGATTTCCGTCTCGTTTTACCATTCTTCCAGTATTCTATGGCACTCCTTTTATACTCAATTGGTAATGCTTCTATAGAACATAATACTTCTTCCGGTAAATACTCTATTTCTTCATGACTCTGAAATAAGTCAACTGCTTCAGCTTCGGAGGTCTCATATAGATCATAAAAATCTAGAGATATTTCTTCTTCTATTTCTAATACTTTTTCGTTACTTATTTCTTGTAACATGTATGCAATTTTCTCTTTTACTTCCCGTTCCTCCAAAGTTATCGGACTCTGAGGAATATTTAATGCAATAAAAGTCACATACAGTAACATTATTACATTTAATCGATTAAATGGTGTCATTCTAAAAAAAATTACTAATTAAATATCTGTTCCAAACTATGATTATGTAAAACATATTGCGTACTTTATATTTAATTAAAGCAATCTCTTTATGTTAGTTATATGATACTCCTTTTTCTCTTGATAGAAAATATGATTTGAGTCCAAAATAAACCACTGAATCGTGAGAAAGTAATCAATAATTCAACGTCTCGTTAATATAGACACAGGAAGCAGTCTTACAAAATATGTAATAATGAAAAAAATATTCTAAAGTATGAAGCATGAAAATCCAAATATTACATAGGCTGAAAAGAATTGTAGAAATTTGCTTAAGTTTATTAGAATATAAATAACATTGTTGAATTGTTGAATTAATATTGACGCGTTACGTGTTGGATTATTTTATATGACATGCATAACACAGCACAAAAACTGTACATATAAAACTGCACAATAAAACAATTATTTGCTAATTTATAAAATTAGAATAAAAAGCAATTTAAAATTATTATAAAATACATGTTTACGAAATCATATTACTAATAGATATAGTGTTACGTGATGGACACGCTCGCGATGGATGAGCGGAACGTCGAAGTTACGTTTTGAATTGATAATATTCCACATCACGGATGTTTATATACACTTCTTGCTGTTCACGGCTCCATCATGTTGCACACGATACTATTGTTTGTTTCACAATTCTATATCAATATGCGAGTGTTATTTTTATTCTCAATTGTGTATCCAAATCAGGCTACTTGGCAATACTTCGTGAAACTTTGCCAGCAATCGTTATGTAATATAATAGCATAATATCTCCTACATTTTTAACTTCAGTTTCAACTTCTCTTACATTTATGTCCCAATATATTTATGCTAATAAAAGTAGAATTAATAGAAGATATTGCTATTTATTAAATAAACTATATGAGAATTGAGTCAGTTTCGACGAGTTATATCGAGTCTCATTTTAAATTTCGTTAAACAACTGCGTGTGTTTTGTATAAATTCTGTATGTTTTGCTCTATTTAGTCAATATATTTTGTGTGTATATCTGTATGTATTTCTTATTCTAAGACTTACTCATGCAATAGCAACACCAAATACGTTTCCATTCTCACACAGCATAATTTATCAAATGCCATATAATATTATATAATACGTTGTATATGATGTAACTAATAATAATTTTTGTTCATTTATAATATGCAGAAGATGCAGTTATTGTTTGTATAAACATCATGTTGCAGAAAAGAAATAATATAATATGTAAGTCTATAGCGCAACTCCTATAATACGAAGTTTCAAAAAATGCGTTTTTCTAAAAATGTAATCGGTCAAATATAATATTATTATATATGGATGAATTTGTCTTTTTAAGCTCTTTTTTTGTCCTTACAAAAATTTTGAAATTGGCAAAAATTATAATGGACAGGGGGGAGTAAATTAAAAAATTTGATATTTTTCGCAAATCTAAATATACCATTACATAGAGCATAAAATACCATTAAACTTTCATCTAATCATTTTTTCATACATCTCATAGTTTAGAACATATTCCCAAAAATTGAAAAAATTCGTTATTTTCGAGGGGTGTTTTCAACTTCTAAACGTCGAGATACGCAGATAAAAAAAATATGACCTAATTAATTTTTCTGCTCTACAACATATCCAAAGTCCATTCAAATCGATCGTCGACGGTTTACTTGTTAGATAGGAATTTTCTACAAATGTGATAAAAAATTATATTTTAATCTGCTAATATTTACGCGAGGTACATATCACTTTAAATTCAATTAAAAAATATGTAAAAAGATATTTCTTTTAATATGCATAAAATTATACACATTTACAGCAAAATACAAAAGTTATTTACATATATATTGTGGAAAAAGAAATTTTATTTAGATTATTGCTTCTCGTATAGCACAAATCTTTATACTTTAATGTCACATCAATCGCATTGATTTTAATAAAAAGAATAAGAAAGAAGGGAAAAGATCAAGGAACACGGTGATTTAATAATTAAACAATAATAAAGGTAACTGAGAAAATATTCTAACTTTTAAAAGAGTGCTTTCGATGAACATCATTTATTTGTCGTTACTGAAATATCCTGTACAAGATTGAAGAAAGAATTCTTTCTTTTCTTATCCCCTTTCAGTTTATTATCAAAGGAGACCTCATAAAATTATCTGCGTCGAATCCAAATAAATTAAACAAGAGATGTTCTCCCCCTCCTCTCCCCTTCTTCCTCGTCCTGTTTTTCCCCCTTCTTTTCTTCTTTCCCTTTTCCTCTTCTCTTTTTTTCTTTCTGCTACCTTTTCTTCGTCGTTCGTTATTGTCCGCGCGCCAGTTACTTGAAACTAAATCTTCTGGTAAATGCTACATTGACTCTCAAGTTACACTTTTTTTGTTTTTGTTGTATAGTAAGTCTCGAACGATGGTGCAGGCTACGTGGCAACCTTTTGTTTTATTTCAAATCGCGGGAGCAGTGGTCGGAGCCGTTAGGAGTAATTATACTGGAACAATGTACGGTCCGCATGGAGTCTCCCAACAATCACGTCCCATACGGGTTCAGCATAGGCAAGCATATATTATCTATTTTTTCCTTTTTTGTTTCCTTTTCTCTTTTTTTTTGTTTCCTTTTTTCTGTTGTTTTCGACTATATTCGACGACTTGTCGCTGTCATTATTGGCTACGTTCAGAGAACAACAATAAAATGATCAACTTTTGAAAGAAGGATGGAAGATCTAAATTAGCGGATCTATATATCAACTATTAGGTACTTTTTTCTAAACGGTTATATAAATGTTATGTTTTCTGTACGTAGTCATTGTTATCTTTGTTTGCATGCGTACGCCTATTGGTTTCACGTAGCGTGCGAGTGCGACGTCAGAAGCACAGACAGAAAAATGTTGCAGTTTTCGACGGAGGCTTGTTTCAACAGTTAGGCGCCAATACGGCCGAAGAAAGGGACAGTTGGTTACAGGCGTTGCAATTGGCCAGCTACGAATGCATGCGAAGTCAATTGTTATCCTTGCGACAGCGCATAGAGGCATTTAGTGGTCACAAGCACGACACCGATATTCAGATGTTGCGGTTGCAGCGCGGGACTTTTACAGGTTGGGTAAACGTTAAGAATTTGGAAATGATATTTTTTGCTTTTATAGATGTGCGGCTTGCGGAATTATACTAAATCGCGAACATTCATAGAATATCAATTTACTGCTTAATTCAAATTGCATGTATTTATTGAATCTTATAATGTCGAATTTTCAAATTTTTAAACATTGACCATCGTAATTGTGATTGCTTTGAACATTTACACGTTATAAACATTATAAAGCTTCATCTACAGTGCTTGTAACAATATCTGGTTGTAAGTCCATAGCATTTAGTTGAAGGTTGAATTTAACGTTTTTAAAACAGTGTTATTTACAATGTTATTTACAATGTTTACAGCAAAATGTAAAATGGAGTAATCAGGAAAAAAGAAAGTTAGAGCTTTAATTTTAATGCTGATTGTCTTTTTGTTTGTTTATTGCGTCTTTAATTACTCATAAGTAAACTTGAAAAAATTTAACTTCATTACTTTTTTTTAATTTTTTTATTCTCTCCAATAGCAGTCCAAGTGGACTCCTTTACTTCATTATTTCTATATAACATTTCATGAATTGTTATATAAAGAAAGATTAGTTATAATTATGAGTCCGGCTATAGTTGTTATAGCAGCTCTTTGTTTTCCTCTTATTTCTGCTTATCGCTTTTCTCATATTTAAAAAGTTCATTCTCTTTTTATTTCATTTTGGTTAAAAAATATTGTATTTCTTAATTTTGGAAATATAACTGATATTAGCAATTGATTCTGCATTTGCGTACTTTTTGTGTGCTGCTTTGCTCTATTTAGTCAATGTAAGATTAAAGCATAGAAAATAAAAATAATTCATTTTGCTTACGATCTTATGTGTTACTTATATAGTTTATTACGCCGAAAACAGGTCGTTACAATCGGATCCTACGAATTTACAGCCATACTCCACATGAATTACAGTCATTACAAATAGGTCTTAATTACTCGTATTTATTGTTTACTTTGACGTGTAAGCGCTCATACAGTCTGTAAAGTAAGAGCGTGTACGGCATAAATGGCAATTGGCTTCAAATATCGTCCTAGTTTTTTGTGAGCCGATAGATGAAATCTTTGTCGTGAATGCTTTGTCACAAAAGATTCAGTTGGCATCGAACTCTAACCTGAGAAACACGTTAACCGCCATGAGTGCCGCATACGCATCGCGCTACGAGGCTGTGTTCCTTTGTTCCCACCCCAAAGGACCAAAAATGTCATATGCAGTGGCTGCTAAATATATGGGAAAGTCAAAATCATTCGTCGCTAAGTGAGTTCAGCAATATAAGAAGATAAAAAATGTCGCCGACTTGCTAGAACGTGGCTCGATAGGCAAAGTGACGCCGAATATGGAAAAAAAAATTGTGAATTTGTTTAAGCGGAACCCGACCTTAACATTGCGATAAGGAGCAGCAAAATTAAAACAGAAGGGTATAGAAGTATCACATACAACTATTCGAACCCATCTCTTTGCGTATAATCTCAAATATCGAAGTACAATGAAGAAACCACTGTTAGACGAAAAACATGTGACGAAAAGACTCGCTTGGGCAAAGGAGAATTTGGACCGAGATTGGAGCAACGTGATCTTTACGGACGAAGCTTCTGTTTGGGGATATACTGCCATCCGACGTTTCTGGTCAACCTTGACCAATAGATTAATACAACAGACTGTTAAACACCCTGTAAAAGTTCATCTTTGGGGCTGCTTTTCGAAACAGGGTTTTGGAGCATTACATCTGTTTACATACAATTTAAATGCTCCGAAAATGCTTAAAATTTATGAGAAATGTTTGTTGCCGACTGCTGAACGATGCTTCATAAAAAGAAACGAGGACTGGATCTTACAGGAAGACAACGACCCAAAACACCGGAGCAAGCTTTGCACCGAGTGGAAAGAGCAGTCTGGCATCATCACACTTGATTGGCCATCGCAGTCGCCAGATGCAAATCCCATTGAAAATGTGTGGGCATATCTCAAGCACAAGCTTCGAGGAAAAAGAGTGTGCACTTTGAAGCAGCTGACACGACAAATTCATCTCATTTGGAGGTCTTTACCGAACGAATACGCAGTCAACTTAGTGGAAAGTATGCCTCAGAGATGCCAGGCACTTATCAATGTCGGTGGTGACTGGACTCATTATTAATGGTATAGCATTTTTCTTCTCATGGAGTACAACAAATCCATGTACTTAAAAATCATTAAAAATAAATGTTTCTATACATTAACCCGTGCACGCTCTTACTTTACAGACTGTAGATTAAGTAATAACGTCATCGTAACGTCATAACTTCTGCATACAAACGTTTACTTTAATGAGGTAGGATAGCGAAAGCGTAAGCTTTTATGCTTGTTTCTGAATTTATCGGAAGTAGTATTAAGTATGTATCCAATAAATTATGATATTAAGTAAAACATTTTGAAACAAACCGTACTTACATGGTCATTATCATTTTAGTCAAAGTTACTAGTTATCCAGATAATGTGAAATATTTTGGAAATGATAGAATTGTTCAATATTTTCCAAGTCATTGAGAAATATTTGAGGATTATGATATATTTTCTTCTTCCTAATTTCTGTTAATTAACGATCATTTTGATCAATTTCCTGTTTTTACAATTATTTTTCTTCATTTCCAGATCTTGCTTTTGCAATTCAAAATTTTAATGAAATAATAAACATAGCAAACTTAATAAATATATAGGTTCTTTAGATAACTTTAACAATATTAATATTTGTGCAAACAATACATACATACAGTCTGTCAAGCAAGAGAGTGGTCGGGTTAATTTATAAAAAAATATAAATAAAATTTTTAAATATATATATACATTGTACTCGATGAGAATAAGGATGCAATTATGTCAATAATGCGTCCAGTCACCATCGGCGTCGATAATTGCCTGGCATCTCCGAGGCATGCTTTCGACCAAATTGACGGCGTATTGTAGCGGCAAGGACCTTCAAATCTAGATTGGCCGTCGCAGTCGCCCGATGTAAATCCCAAATTGAAAATGTGTGAGCATACATTAAGCAGAAGCTTTGTGGAAAACGCACGTACATTTTGAAGCAGTTATCTTGCGAGATTCGTCGGATTTAGATCCTTGCCGCTACAATACACCGTCAATTTGGTCGAAAGCATGTCTCGGAGATGTCAGGCAATTATCGACGCCAGTGGTAACTGGACGCATTATTGACATAATTGCATCCTTGTTCTCATCGAGTATAATGCATATATGTATTTAAAAATTTTATTTAATAAATTTTTTTATAAATTAACCCGACCACGCTCTTACTTGACAGACTGTACATACATAATAATATATAATTTAACTTTTCATCTGTCATTTTGCGCTTATAGTTACCAAAACGAGCGCTATTCTTTATTACCGTATATTCGTTACCGTATATTACCGTATTAAGCGCTCAAACATCAAACTGAATAGTTGAGAATAGTACTTATAACCTTTTACAGTGTATGAGCATTCAAAGCGAACATTCATACTGTTTCATGTTGAAATCATTCCTTTAGATCCGGCGGAGGTACCGATGTGTGAGATATCATTAGCTTGCGATAATCTACTGTGTGATGGACATGGCAGACCACCTACACCTGTTTTAGAAATAGATGTACAGTCAAAATCTTCTAAAACCTGGATTAAATATGCACGGACAGAAGTTGTAGAGGTAATTGCGAAAAATCCTAGATCTGTTTTTCTAATCTTCGCTATAAACATTTCTTTTTTTTTTTCAATCATTTCAGCGAAGTAGTAATCCTAGTTTCTTAACTACGGTAAGTTTCCGTGCGAGTGATGGTTTGACAACCGAAACAAAAATTAGAATAACTGCATACGACATCAGGGAAAGAGTTAGTCAAACCGCAACTCCGATAGGAAGCGCAATAGTGACATTCAGCACGGTGCAAGACACTCCAAGGTAATATTAGCTTTGTTATTGGGAAAACTCGAAATCTCGAAAGGAAACTTAAAATTCATAATCCATTTGTCTTTTAATTTTTACTCCTCTGAATTTAAAAATTTCTTAAAAAAATCTTAAAAAGTATAATTTTTCTCTAATTATTTCTTCTTTTTTCTTCTACTTCTTTCTCTTTGGTCTCTTGATAAATATGCAAACTTTTCTCAACATTTAATGAATAAGTTTAAAAATATAAAAAAGTGAACAATTATATGTTAAATTTATATATAAAATTACTAAATATATCGATATTTTCTTACTTTATTTTGATTTTAGATTAAGGATACCGTTAAAGTCAGCGAAAACTACCACTGTCGGATTTTTGACAATTAACGTGTGGAATTTAGAAGCTGAGGATAAAGGAAATAGTACAGAAAGCACACCGTCGAGAAACGTGGTATATGGCAATAATAACCAACAAGTAATAAGTTAATAAGTTAATTTAATATTGCTACATTAAGATTCTTGGTCTTTCACAGCAAAACTCTTAATAATATTAGAAATGAGAAAATTTATATTAAAAATTTTTGTTGAATTATGTCGAAATAAAAAGATATTTTCATAAAATAACATAATCGATTAAGTATATTTCTAAAATGTTCCAGAAACTTCTCTTTTGTCAATATAATCAATAAATAGGTGACAATTCAATATGACAAAATCATAAGAAAAAATAGATTAAAAAGAAAATTTGCAAATTATATTAATTTTGCGATTATTTATTGTTAAAATAAAAAGGAAGTTTCCGGAGCATTTTAGAAATTTTATTTTATTTAATTGATTGCGTCGTTTTATGGATATATTTTTTATTTCAACAATTCGTAGGAATGTTTAATACGTATTTCCACGCTTCTAACGTCATTATTCAAGATCGTTACGGCAAGGAAAGAAGAGTTCAAAATTTAATTTTTATCGATTTATTTTTATATAATATTTTTCAGTTGCCTTCACATAGACGCTCGCAATCGTTGCCACCCAGATTAGGGACAAAAATAAAGTTCCCGCATCAAGGCCAGTTAAAGTTGCTTTTTGCGAATCCATATGTACAGACTTATCGGTAAGTACAGACTGTGCATTGATGACAATTCCTCGAATTAACGTTTCTTGAACCAATTTCTTAAATATTTTGGTATATCTATGATACGTTCTTTGATCTTCTTTGGATTTATAGATTCCATTCCGGATTGGGCGGTGATATTTGTGTGCACGAGATTATGGCGGAGAGCAAGTTCTGTTTCCAATTTCCTCAACATTTGCTGTAAGAATATATAATAGTTTTATATTATAGACAGTAATAGAGCAAAGATGAAGACAGTGAAGTGAAATGCGATTGGCAAATTGCAGAGGTATTTGGATACAGGAGGAAAAGGAATTGCTACAAGAAGTAGCTGGAATGGGAGAACTGAGGGAACCTTGGCATACAAAACAAGTCGAATTACTTGATCGTCACTTGCACTTATTACATTTGTATTCCCAAGCCAAAGAAAACTTAGCTGCCTATAAAGGTGAGTGTATATCTCGACTTATCTATTACACAGGGTGTCCGGGATCTTCTGGAAACGAAAAATTGTGAAGATTAAACAGATCAAGCTGAGAAGAAAAGTCAAGTATCATCTTGTAAAAATCGCGATCATTAAGTTATTAATGATTGAAAATAATTGCATCTAGAAACTTTTTTAATTGATAACTTGAAAATTTGCGTACTTATTTGCAAAATAGTACATGACTTTTCTTCGCAGTTTGATCTGATTAATCTTCACAATTTTTTGTTTCCAAAAGGTTCTGGACACTCTATACAGGTTGTAAAAGTGCTTACTAAGTGCATAGTGTTATTCCTAATAAAAAATCAAGTCGAGAAGTCTTAAATCATTTTTTTCTATTAAGCAATAATTATTGAGAATAAAGTCATGTCAATTAGCACTGATCTTTAGTTGGACGCACATTAGTGAGCCACATGCCTCATAGCGCTCACATACACTAAGAGGCGTGCGGCTCACTAACGTGTGAGCGGCTAAAAATTTGTGCTAAATGGCACGACTTTATTCTTAATAATTACTGTTTGATTAAGTATAATAAAAAAAAATGGTTCAAGACTTTTCCACTCAATTTTTGATCAGGAATAACATTGTATTTAGTGAATGTTTTAGTTACACCCTGTACACACACACACGCACATGCACGCATGCACACGCACACACACGCATGCGCACACGTACGCACACGCATGCACACACACGCATGCGCACACGTACGCACACGCATGTACACGCACGCGTACACACACGCACACATACACGCACGCATCTAAAATATCATATTTCAGGAAGTTATTTCAAGCAGTCGTCGCGAAAAAACGATCGTACTCTCGAATTTGCACCTCTTAACTTGCATCTTCAAAGAATGTGGGTTCATAATGATACGCTAAACAAGTGTGGATTTTACGACTTTATTAGCGTAGGAGCTTTCACAGCGCATTCTCATAAAAGTAAAAATGGTGGACTTATAAGGTATTGTGTAAAGTTAGCACACAAGATTAATCGTCTAAGTAACTTTCAAAGTAAGATATATTTTTCTTTACATGCAGATTGGTGCAGGCGTTGAAGGAGTCGCCAGTACGGAGCAATCAGTTGTACCAAGGAACATCTAAGATAACGATGGCGCATGATGCGATTCAAGCGATTAAGCAATTGCGCCGAGATGTTGTAGAGGCAATGAGATCATTGATGAAGCTCGCCAAAGAGAAGCAAACAAGCGGCATGTTGCCCATATGTGAAGATATGATTACAAAAACTCGGATCTTACTCAGCCTATGGGATCCTGGTTTAGTGGAAGAGGCATTAACGTTTTTGGAAGAATATAAAGTTGCAAAAGTCCAAAAGAACTCTGCACCAACAAGCACTGATGACACTCTGACTTTAGATTTCAAGACAAACCAATCTCTATCGCCATTCAAGCGGATTACACAGCAACTGAATTTCGACCTGAAAAGTCCCGATTTCGATGATTTTGTCACGCCCGATACTCCTGAATGCGTCCAAGATATTTGGTCTAAGGGTGGCATGAGAAATGATGAATATGCACCGTTACCATATGCGAGAAACGACGTGACCAGTAGCAACGTTGGCGAGAGCGATGATGCTGCGGAGGAGAATTTTGTGATATTCCCGGACGTGGAAGACGATCCGAAACAAACTGAAGCGGAGACTGCAGATGAAAGCGTTCAGCGAGTTCATAACCATGAAAACAAGGAAAATTATGAGGATGAAAGGGAAGATTTGAAAAGCGACGCCGATCCATGCAGACGTTTCCTTGATACTCAAAAGATGTGTAATTCACCCTCGGCAAATTATTACAAACCCACGGATGAGCCAGAGCCATGGGATCTCACTCAGCTGAACATCGAAGCGAGTGTTATGTGTCTCGTGTCAAAAGTTAAGTTTCTTTGTGGCAGATGCAGTAGTCCGGCTGTACGACTGCGTAATAAGGGCGGACACTTGAGCAGATCGCAAAGCCTTAAAGGTTGTCCGCCGAGTAATTGGCACAATGCTGAAGTCGTCACCATACAGCCGAAAAACGGCATCAAATGCGAAGAGTCGAATAAATTATTGGAAGAAACGAACGATGCGTCGCGACAGCAGTCTAATCCGGGAATGGAGAAACCGGCGTTCTCTAAAGCAAAAGAAGGTAAAAGAGATTTTATTCCTACTACATGAAAGATAATTTTTATTACAATGAAAGGAAGAAGGATGAAAAAAATATGATAAAAACACGTGCGATGTAATATATTTGTTAGAAATAACAGATAATTATTGTAACTCATTTTCCAATAAAGTGTGCCAAGCGGTCGATTCGATGACGCGAGTGATCAAAAGTAATTCAGGACAGAGGAACAAGTTTACCGAAGGTCTAGATTTCGCGTCCATCGTAGATTGGACAAGCGAGCTCAGGCCGAGCATGAAGAAGCTACGACAGGCCATGGACGGGTTGCTCAAGACTGCCAGATTGACACATTCGGTATTTCGCGTACAGGAAGATTCCAAGACGGCGCAGCGTGTGTGCAATGTTCGTTACAGACGGGACGTTTGCTTCAGTCAAGCGGTGAGTGATTTACTATTAATATTATTTGTGGTGAAGATCAGAGCAAAGATCTTTACGAGAAAATCTGAGATCGTGAAACATTTCAGCTGACAGCCTTAGTAACTGGCATAATGGCAAAACTGTGGTGTCAACGACCCGACCCAATGTTTCTGCTAATACTTACAACTTTGGGACCATTGGTCTCTTTCGAAGGTCTCCTTAGTTATTACGGAGACGAGATTGATATGTGGGGAGATATGGCTGTAGCAGTTGAAGACACTCATACTGTCACGTTCACTTTGTCACGATGTGGCATTCAATCCAGGTAAGTGAATAATTATGTATTTACTCATATTGCACAAAGAAAAATGGAAATGTTATTTTATAGAATTGAGAAAAAGTCCAATGTGGCGTTTCAATTGCCTCTACCGCGCGTAGTAGGATCACGGAGCGCGTTGACAGTAATACTCCCAGTTCCAGACACGATTTATTCTCTCCTGCCATTAGTGCCCTCATCTAGGCAGACGTTGTCGTTTAATGTAACGCCGGTGTTCTTTAACGTCGGTATTAACGAGATGGCTTCTTTGGCTGAAAGTCTTGGTACTACGAAACCGCAAGAAAAGAGTAACATGGATAATTTTGACAGGCTAAATGAGTATTATTTGAGATTCAAGAAGTTGAATCTACCGACGGAACCTGCATCCACGCGTTGTGAGCATATTTTCTCTTTTTTCCTTTTTATTATTTTCTTTTTCCATTATTATCCGTAACATGATCTCCGAAAGATATAAAAAAGTCTAAAAAATTTTTAATCTTTTAGATATTTTCTTGGGACATTTTTTAGATGACAGATTCTAAAATAAATGTATTGTTGCAGTTGTCGCCAGATCGATATTAGGCCACACATTGTCAGATATGATGTCCAACTTAAAAACGTGCGTGCAAGAGAAAGTGAGCAAGAACGTAGAGATTTTGCAGTTATCTTCGCAGATATGTCGAAGAATGCGTGGTTTAAGATTTACCAGTTGCAAGAGCGCGAAAGATCGAACCGGTATGTCGATCACCCTCGAGCAAGTTAATATACTTTCATCGGAATATCATTTGGCCGAGCACGAATATATGAGGGCACTCGACTGCATGCGAAGGTAAATGAGAAAACAAGAGGAAAATAATAATCAACAAAAGAATGACAGATAACGCAAACGTTTAAAAATTTTTCTAAATAAAGATTTCAATTATATAAATCAGAAAAATTCCACATATTACTGCTTTAAGTTAAAACATAATGGATGATTAACTCTTTCTCGGAGACTTTTCGAATTACCTACCAACAACTTAATCGTATTTTCTTACATAATAACGGTACAAAATAATGGTACAAAATGAATGGCTTCAAATTAAATAGTATAATTTTGGGACTAGTTATTTTATTCGAATAATATTTGTTATTCAATCTTATAAAATTTATAAACAAGAAATCAAACTTTTATATCTTATATTTTTCTAATGTATGACAACGTTTAAAACAATCACTGACATGCAATGCACTCTTTCATCTGAAGTTTTTCTATTTGAACGTACAATATACTTTTATACAGAAATTGCCCTTCATATAGGATCGCTCTTTATCTCTACCTCCCATTACAAAGAAGTGCCGTCATCACTATGAAGACTTACGTATCGTCGGCTGATATTCTCTTACTGTGTACTTACTGTGTACTCGGCATATTTTCCATTTCTTTAATTGTATTTTCGTGTAATGCGAATGGAAAACTTCAAGAAAACATACATTTATGAAAAATTTTGCACTTGCATAATTTATCCTATATAATCACAAATAATTTCTTTTTGTCTCCTCAGAGTGGACAACCGAGTGTAAACGGTTAATATCCAATTAATTTTTTGAAAAATTATATCTTAGAGAATTAAACATCTCTTAAATATATTGCTTACGTTTTATGTTATTTAGAAAGAAATTTTAATATTCTAACATTAATTATTTGATTAACTCTATTTCTATTGCTTTAGTGAGGGTTGCCGACGAGAGAACACCTGGAAAAATATTAGCGTGCGGAAGTATGCGTTTAACAGCTTGCAGATTCTAACGTTGCCTCGACTTTACCGACCACCAACTGGCACGTACGGATCTGCCCAGACATAGAAACAAAAGCCTGATTACGTACGTATATTACATTACGAATGATTAAGTTTAACTCTCTGGCTGTGTAACTACGGATTAACTTCCGTAATAAGCGACAAATATTTAGTACTTATATACTTGTTACCGGATAGAGCGGTAAGTTGAACGGCAAAAATAGCCGTTCATAAGTGACGTGATTCTTCTTTAGGAAAAATATTGGGGGCGGCCGGCATGCGACTGGCATACGTTAGGTGTACAAAATGCGGTCAGTGGCGTAGCGATAGCGGCATTGGATGCTGAATGCTTGCAATTTTATCTTTTGTTAAAAATTTCTTCAACGCATTTCTCGGAATTTATTATTCGTTAATTCATTATAATTAGAAATTCTCTCTCTCTCTCTCTCTCTCTCTCTCTTCCTCCCTCTCTCCCTCCCTCCCCTCTCTCTCTCTCTCTCTCTCTCTCTCTCTCTCTCTCTCTCTCTTTCTCTCTCTCTCTCTCTCTCTTTCTCTCTCTCTCTCTCTCTCTCTCTCTCTCTCTCTCTCTCTCCTCTCTCTCTATTTTTAAGTCCGACAAATTATATCATTGTATTGGAATGCATCATTACATAAACGATGTATAGCAAATACGGAAGCCTGATATGGTGAAGAAGCGAGCGATAAATTAGTTACATATTAATATGTAATTGTAACATGGATGGCTGAAAGGAGAAGAGAGATTACAGAATAAATCGGATTAAAATAAGAAATTTTATGCATTGATCAATTTTTCTATTTGTTTTCTATATTACATTCATCTTTCAATCATTCAGCAGAAGTTACTTGTGACATCTGTTCCTATTTTTTCTACTAAGCTCATTATTTTGACCCGACTTATACTTTACTCTTCTACCATTGTTAGTGAGTTCTTGTAATACAATATGTCGGATATCATAAATATTAAACCCACACACTTCAAATAGATATGTTTTGGAAAATGCGGCTGTGAATTACGATTTTCATCACGAATTTACATTCAATTGTTTACGTTATAAACATGATTTTAGTATTTTTTGTATGTAAGATGTCGATATTGTAAAAGGTCTCTATTATATCTAACCGAATTTATTGTTGAGTAATCGAATCACCTTGTTCATTGAGTTGGTTATTCATCCTTATAAAGGTAAGTAGCTTATTCTGCCATATTCTGCCATATTATTATTCACGGAATATCTCTAATGACGTTAGTGTTAACGTTGCTGAAAGAGACATCGTTATCGCGAGATATGTTAATCATATATGATGATGAAGAAGCGTTATAATTGATATGAGGTATCATTACTTCCGCGCACACGTGGATTTCCGTGTACATCCAATGTTTGTACAAAAAAATTCAGCATATAAACGCGCGTGCACACTCCCTCACATACATGCGCGCGCGTGTATACGCACGCATAATTGTACTTTCATTATTCTAATAGAGCGAACTAATAACACGTTACCGTATTCGTAACTATAAATGGCAGATTTCAAGTTGGACATTGTTTTCAATAAATTATTAATTTTACCCGATACGATGCATGAGCAACTGATTTTTTATCGATGAAAAATTCCTATCAATCTATATTTTGTTAACTATGCGAGAAGACTTGCATTTGCGTAATTATTATTCCTACAATTTACATTTAAAATGAGTATTGCCGTTTTAAACTATTTTGTCTTATTTGCTCTGGAAGAAATTTAAGATTTAAAAATATATGTGCAAAAATATTTGCTAAACCACATTTTTTTATCGAATATATCATGTTTTCATGTATTGTAGTCTCTTATAACGTTAAAGTACTTTGTTGTATAAGTTTTCATCACGCAGAAGGTTTTGTTAAAACTTCAAGAAGCTACAAAATCCGCAGAATGAAATTCATTTTTAACTCGAGAAAGAAATTGTTTCAGATTTTTAAATGAGGAATTTCGCCCTATTCGTAGACGCACTAATTACCGAACTCTTTTGCACATTTATCGTATTACGATTCTATATAACGTATCTATTACGATCTCGTGGCATGACATGAGTGCAGTGAAACGAAGGTAGGGAGGGACTACATGTAAGCAACGTTGGGATACAGACAGCAGCGTGCAAGACAATATATACCTGACGAGGCCTGGTGTTGCTGAACGAACACCTGCTCTACACCGGGCCCGAGCGGGGACCTTTGTCCAGAGACCGATATAAAACTCGTACACCGTTTCAGCCGCAGTCAGTAGACTTTCAAGAGACAGTCGAGTATATCACGCGAATCGTATATTGATTGGACGCGATTTTGCTGTTCTTATAATCGGATTATCCATAGATCATGGTGAATCAAATTAAATTTACATTATCGTTAAGTTGTGCCGAATAAACGTGATAAATTATAATTGCGGTGAAATGCTGAAATAATTTTATTGAAGAAATTGGATGAAACTCCATACGAAAGTTTTTCCGTGAGTTTAAAAATGCGAAGATTCGATGGTAGAAATTTTCAACCTAAAAATATGCATTAAACTATAAAAATACGAGAGGAGTTTGTGTTGATTTTTTCTTTAAAATATAATATTCAGAGATCTTTAAATTACGAGATATACAAACTCGAAAGTTTAAAAACCGGAGGATTTAAGAATCTTATACGAAAACTCTGCAAGATTTAAGAATTCTATACGAAGATTGCAAGATTTAAGAATCCTATACGTAGACTCTGTAAAAACGAAAATGAAAGTACCATGGTTATTAACGACGATTATCGCAATGAGCATATTGATTGCCGGCATACGCTCAGACGAAGATCTCAGAAATACGATTAAGTTGCTGCAGGAGCAAGTGAGCGCGTTGCTAGACCATCGGCAGGAAGATTATAATGCTTTGGAGGAGAGTTTAAAAAGAGCAATGGAAAAGAACACCGAACTCATCGTTCTTAGGAACGAAGTGAAACAATTGAGGTAAAATTACATTTGTTGTATCAAGTTTGTAATCGATATCGTAATGAGATATAGTATTAGGAATCATAGGATGACATAATTCAGATATATGTTGATGCATATGCATGAGGAAATCTCAGAAATTATTTATAATTTAAAGGTTCTGCTAAACTAATTTTTTTCGCGCTTCGTAGAGAAATTAATTTATACAGTTTACGAAAACTATTGTGTACATTATTTAGATGCATTAACATTTTTATATGTTAGAAAAATGTTATACATTTTTTTTTAATAATCAGTAAATTATCCATATTCAATGAGTTACTGATGATTAATAATTTTGATGAATTAATTTTTATGATAAAAAAACATTTTCTTATTTCTCTATTCTTTTTAAGTGTTAATTGTAGTTCTATACGAGAAATAATATCGCTACAGTAATATAATACTTTAGAAATACGTATATTATAATCATATTATATATCCTCACAGGAAGGAAGTGAATGTTCTTCGCGGCGGAAGCGGCAATGAGGCGAAGAACGAGCGACTCCGGGTACGATGGCTCGGCAGCGCTGTGATGGAATTGCAAAGTGAAGTTGCCGAAGTGCTTAAGGCACGTAACGCTAGTGAGGAACTGGCCGAGCGATCAAGAATGAGGAGCGAGCTAGCCTTGCTGAAAGGAGATGTCGCCGAGGTTGGTAGGAGTATACGCGATCTTGGAGGCAGGATTACCCAGATTGAGGCTGCGCTAAGCACCATCAGACTCGATATCGGTGCAACGAAGGAACGTGCCAGTCTCTTGACTCGCTCTTGCGCGGATATTGGCAGTCAGGTAAGTTGTTGCCTATCGTAACTATTAGAAAATTGATGAAAAATAAAATACAAGATAGTGGACAGTTATCAGTTTGCAACACAGTTACGTATAAAGTGACTGCGGAAAAAGTTATTGAAATGCTCTATTTTCAGATAACAAATTAATTTTAGAGTTTTTAATTTTCGCATGAGAGATTTAACAATTTTTATCTAATTTAAATACATATTTACACATAATAATTTATATTTCTAATAATACTAGTTTGATTCTTTTACTCGATATAATTTTCTTATTTATTAATATATTACTTAGTTAACTCTAATGTAAAAAATTACCTAATTGTTAATTTAAAAATCTTCAACTTATGTTAAGTGGTTTAATAGATTCAAAATGCTTAACTTCTCTAAATATAATATTTTATTAATTATTAATTATCGTAGAAAAGCGTTTTCGTAGAAAAGATTTGTCTTATATGAGTAGTCCTTTTTTCTATATACTGCAAAAATAATGGGTATATAATACAAGTTGTAATATATATAATATATGTTGAAAGAGAGAGATAAATACATATATACATACATAAATGCATATGCGCTCGCACATATGCAGACTACACACATATATATATATATATATATATATATATATAATTTAGTATCATATTGTTATCACCGCCGTTAGTTCTGTGATGATTTTTAGATGCGCGCGTGCCGTTCAATGGTCACGACCGATTTTCTCGGTCATAATGGCTTGATCTTGTAATGGTGAATATATAAACACACTCTACATATGCACGTACACACATACATACACGCGCGCTAAAGGGCCTGCCATGCAGCTCGCGCGCGGACACGGGCGTTCACGTAGATAACGGCTGCCGCTACCATTTAGTATTTACGACAGAAAGAAGAAGGGGGATGCGTAGCTATTGCACCTGCGCCTTGCGGGGCAACCAGCTGCTTGGTTCCTGTTTCTCGTTTTGTCGCTTGGCAGCTGCTCCTCAACCCGCCTCTGCCCCTTCTTCCTTGCTCCGTCTGTGCAGTAGATCCATTCTTTGGGTTGTACGCATATGGCTCTCAGGCTTGGTTCCTAACATACCCTTCTTCCTCCACTACTTATTAAACACTTCCTGCCCTTTGCACTTCTGTCTTCGACTTTCAATCATCGTACAAAAAGAGTTTTATATACAGCGTGTTTGACGCAAGTCATACCAACGCTCATGTATATGTAGAATACATCAAACGGAGTAATAGGATTGTTATCATTTTATACACAACCACATAGAATTTTGAGTCATTAACGAAAGAAGATTGACGAATTAGTATACGTAATGCAGTGAAGCGAACTTTGTTAGCTATGAAATATCATAAAATTGTAACAATTGATATTTGATAGATAAAATAAGCACTATAAGTTTTTTTATGCTCTATCACTTGTGCACGAATTAAAAAAATATGAAAGGAAATATTGCTAAAATATGGAACACGGATATCGGACGGTTTTCTAAAAAGTGTTGTAGATGTCATATAAAAGTTTAATTTAATTTAATTTTTATTTAATATCTTTTATCTCTTTTATATCATACAATTAAAAAAGAACTGATTTTTCGTTAAGTAATATAATACATTAACATTTAATACAATAGTCAATATTTTTTAAATTCCAAAACCTGGAATTTTTGTGTGTTAATTTATCAATAACTAATAATATATGTCAAATGTCTTATTTCGTCTAATTTCCATTTTCTTATTTTCTGTTTCAATACATTTTCAATTATTCATGTAATTTTATGCACTTTTTAACTTTCTCTTTCTCTTCCTGTCTCTCAATGTAAAAATATACGTGTTTTAAATTTATTTACATAATAATTATTTACATAATAAATAACATTTATTTATGTGATATGTTATATAATATAAATAACATTATAATAAACACAATAAACAAAATATGTGCACGTTATATATAAAACTAAATTAAAATTACTGATATTATACAAGGTCTCCCAGAACGACCGTGCTACTGTTCGTGAGGGCATAGAACGAATTAAAGCGAACGAAAAAGTCTCATCGTTTTATAATATTCGTAATAATCATCGAGTTATTAATTATAGAAGTCAGATGAATAAGTGTGCGCCGAAGGAAGAAATATTTGAATTGCTCGGATTATAGCACGACGTCTAGTCTTTCAAAGAATAGAATGTCAACGTGCAACAAGGAGGACAATGAGCCGCCGATTGTGCTCAGATTGCCGCTCCTACATCTCTCTGCATTATGCCTAAGTTTACGTCAATATAACCACTAAATATTCGTGATTATAACTGTGAGATCATTTTATAAGATAGCCAAAGTAGCTCATATTAAAACCATAAAAAGCTTTGTGATAAAAAAAATATCGAAACGGGGAAAACGATAGAAACCGATGAGATTTATAAAAAATCTCATTGCTTTCTGTCGTAATATATCATTTCGCTGTAGTGAATCTGAAAGAATACTGTTTTTCCTTGTATTCTCTTTATTGTTCTCTTTTAGGAGAATACCCAATAGTTGAAGTATGATCGTTGAAGTAAGAATTCCCATAGAGAGTTATCGTGTCTTATCATTTTGTTCAAATTTACAAGAAAAAAGAATGTTTGATTGAATGAACTAATTTTCTGGTGAGATATGAATAATTTAGAAATTTTGATTGAAAATACCAGAATTCTATTTAAGTTAACCAGAGATATTGATAATTTAGACTGAGTTCTGACAATTTCAATCGAAATTTCTGTATCGTTCGTATTTCACCAGAAAATTGTTTCAATGAAACAAAGATTTTTTTCTTACGTATCGTGAATAAATTGCTGTTAAATTCTGTGGTATATTAACAGAGTATATGAAGAGAAACTCAAAAGTCTATCGTACAATTACGAAAAGAAAATATCTTTAGTTAACTTGAACAAAATTTTGATATTTTCAATCAAAATTTCTGGATTGTTCATATTTTTCCAAAAAATTAGTTTATTCAATCAATCATCAGTTCGTTCATTTTTCTTTTCTTGTAGACTTGAACAAAACGATAGGATACGGTAAGTTTCTGTAGGAATTCTATCATATTTCAACGATTAGATATTCTTCTAACAGAGAACGATAGAATATGAGAAAAAACGATATTCTTTCAGATTCAGTGCAACGAAACGGTATATTACGATAGAAAGCAATGAGATTTTTTGTAAATCTCATCGGTTTTTATCGCTATCTTTGTTACGATTTTCTTTTTATCATAGAATTTTTTATGGTTTTAATATGAACTGTTTTTGTTATCTCATAAAATGATCTCGCAGTTATAATCATGAATATTTAGCGGCTATTTCGATGTGAGCTTAGGCGCAATGCAGCAAGATGTAGACAATCCGAACACAAATAGCAGCGCGTTGTTCTTTTCTTCACCGCGTGCCAGCAATAATTGTTAATAGAACGATTGGGTCGCATTATAAATCTAATAAGGGGAATATTAGAGATTGTTTTCTTTTTATCGAATTTGATATACGTTTTAATATCACTTTCCCACTAATTAATAATGAAGTGACTCAATGCAATTCTCAAATGTACAAGAAAAATGAGTTTAAAGTTTAAAGTTTTTCGTGTGCTACATATAATGACAGCCATATTATAAAAACAGACTTCTAACGAACAACAGTAGTCCAGATGGTAAAGTGATTGTTTGATATGCTAGAACTGTACAGGTTGCGTGAAAAATTCGCGGAGCGAAACTGAAATAAAGAATACCAAATTCTAAAAATGATTTCAATCTTCAATATAGCTTCCATTAACTTCAATACACTTGGCCCAATGGCTCTCCAATAATTTTATTCCATCGCAGAAGTGTGTTTCTGGAAGGTCTGCGAAATATGCCTCTACGGCTGCTATAGCTTCTTCATTTCACAAAAAATGCTTTCCACGGAGGAATTGTTTCAGGTTTCGGAACAGATAGAAGTCGCTGGGTGCCAAATCTGGCGAATACGGTGGATGATCAAGCAATTTGTACTTCAATTCATTGAATTTAGACATTGACAAAACACTTGTGTGAGCAGGTGCGTTGTCTTGGTGAAAAATGATTTGTTTGTGCTGCAAACTAGGTCTTTTCTCACGAATTTTTGCGTCCAATTGATCCAAAAGGTTATAATAATATTCAGAGTTAATTGTTTTACCTTTTTCGAGATAGTCAATTAACAAAATCCCTTTAGCATCCCAAAAAACTGATGCCAAAACCTTTTCTGCCGATCTTTCATGCTTTATTTGCTTTGCAGCTGAACATCCAGCTTCAGTCCACTGTAAACGTTCCTGTTTCAATTTAGGATCATGGTGATAGATCCAAGTCTCATCAATAGTTATAAAACGACGCACAAAATCGGTTTTATTCTTCTTAAAACGATCCAAATGACGCTGAGAAATTTGCTTTCGAGCGAGTTTTTGTTGAATTGTTAACGTATGCGGCACCACTTTTCCAAACACCTTTTTTATTTATAATTCTTTATGCAAAATATGCCGTACCCGTTCATCTGAAATGTCTATGGTATGAGCAATTTCACGCGTAGTCACACTTGGATCTTCAGAAACAATAACATATATTTGCTCAATGATTTCTGGTGTTGATGCGCTTTTTAGACGTCCACTGCGTGGATCATCTTCAATGCTTACGACCACGTTGTACGACCACGTTGAAACTCAAGTGCCTATTTACAAACCATTGTTTTTGAAGGAGCAAATTTCCCTAACACATTTACCATCTCGGAATTAATTTCCATTGCCTTTAAACCTTTTTTAACAAAGAACTCAATCACTGCACGCTGTTTCAAATTTTCCATTGCAAACAAATATACTGACACATCAGCTTCAATTGGCTTGTAAACACAGAAAGAATTGACAGATGGAAATGAAACCTAACCTAGGTTCATGTGTAGAGTGATTCTATGACTGCGTTCCGATATTCACTGCCAGTACCGCAAACATATAATTTGTGTCACATATACTATAGAT